CAGTCTAGCTTTCCGGGCTGGCTGTCCATAGGGAAGGCAGCAAGGCCGTGGCCCTTTGTGACCCTCGCTCAGTGACTGAGGTGATGCGAGGAACCCCCAGGCGGTGGCCTTTGTGGATGGAAATGGCCTTCACGTCCATCCTGTCCCTCCTTCTTCCTCAGATAACTTTAGAAGCTGGCAGAGGCTCTCCGTGTGACATTTGCAAGCTTTTGGCAGGGCAGCCTGGGGAATGCTTGCGCTCTTTTTTCCCCCTCTGTATCCCGCAGTGATTCAGGTGAGTGGGAGATTGCACAAGTCCTATAACAGGTGGTGCTACCCAACCTCTCTGCCAAAAGACCAGCCACAATTAAAGCAGTTAAGTGAGGATCTAATTACAAAAACGCCACGCATAACTACAGAAATATTTTGTGTAAATTGCTGGAGGATGAAAAATTAGTATAAACTGTGCTGCAAGCCAATAAATCTACTTGTAGTGTAGTGCTTCCGGAGACAGCATCTAGCAAATGCCTGCGTTCCAGAAAAAGAAAAATGTTCAATATGTTCTGAAATGCCTCTATCCTGTTTCTCTGCTAACTTCCCCCAAGCCATGCTGTCTTCTGGAGAAGTCCCAAATCCCTGGGATTTCTTCCAGCCCTCCTCCCGTGGCAGGCATTACAGGCTCCTAACCAGGAAACAGATGTGAATGCGTGTTACCTGAGTGCCCCAACGGGATGAAGGGATGTGTTTGGGCACCCAGCATCCCCACCAGACTCCTGTTGTGTGGCACAAAGGGAGGCAGCACAGAGCTGTTGGAGCAGGAGGTGGGCCAGAAAGCACATGTAGCTCCTGCCAGCCCCAACATCACTCCTTCATCACTCCATCACTGTCCCCCTGGGTGCAGATGGTGGCCCTGGTGTTCCCTGTGGGACCATGCAGAGCAGCACGTGGCCCCTCAGCATCGCAATGGCCTACAGTTCTGCAGTCTATTCTATAGTCATAACTGTCTTCCATGATCAAAATTCATCTGGAAAACAATGAGACACGTTGATTATGTACTGAAAAGCAGTTATTATTCTTTCCTCTTTCCTTGCAGTGAAAGGTGCTTGGTTCATAATGAAACTGTAGTGTGATTCCAGCTCGAGTAATTCTATCCTCCCCCCAAAGCTGAGAGCTGCCAGGACCCAAAGCTGTGCAGGTGACTTTACAAGCAAGGGCCAGCCCTGCAGCACCTCCTGGCATTGCTCCTGGGAGGTGAGGATGAGGATCCGACCCATCTCAAGGCTCCCCCATTGAAGGGGGCTGGGAATGATGAGCAGCCTCCCCCAGTACCCAGCCTGATAAGGGGAGAGCACACAGCCCCCACTACGTTCCTTTGCTCTTGGAAACCTGGCCATCCCACTGCAGCAGATGCGGGGCAATATGTGATGCACTGCCATGAGAAGTTATATCTAATCCTGGGCAGAGTCTTGCCATGGGCTCCCAGCCCTTTGCTGCCTTGGAGACACACGGGCATGAGCATGGGCAGAAGGGCAAAGCAAGGCTAGCAGGAGCCCTGGAGCAGCTGAGATGGAGAGTTGAGCACTCTGTTCTTCCAGCCCTCCTTTAGCTGCACTCATACTGCAAACCAGCACCCCAGTATCACCTGTAAAAACACCCACCTCGTACATTCTGCATTAGTTGACTTTCTGTCCCCACAAATAATGCTGGCAGAGCAGCAGAAAGCTCTCTAATGGGCTCACAGAGTAATAAAGTAGCCTCACCAGGAATAAAGCCTAAAGCAGTTACTGTGCCAGGTATTATGCTGATTGACCACATTGCAGTTCAAAGTCAAGAAGAGTTGAGGATACAGTGATAAAACATTTGGTCTAAAATCAGACTCTAAATTGCCCTTTTGGACAGCACAGCATTTCATCCAGGAGAACTGTTATTCCTCTCATCTCTCCCCTGCAAAAACTCACTGTTCAAAGAGATAATTTTGCACTGCTTGTGTGCTGAGGTGAGGAATGCTGCACTCTGAGCCGTGTGAATGCTCATACTGAGGTGATGAACCATGGGGGTGCAAACTTCCTTCATACACCTCCCTGCTCCAAAGGGTTAACATTGCTGAGATCCCTCTGGTGAGACTGGGAAACTCCCCATTACATTTCACTGTGTTGCTAATTACAGCCTCACAAGCCCAAGTCAATTAGCGAGGTTTCTTCCTGGGTGCCTCTTTGCCTCTTGGATTTCTTCTCCATCATTAGGAACTCCTGCCTGGGTCTGGCTTGGATGCGCTGGGGTTGAACTTGGTCATCTCAGTGGTCTTTTCCAACCTTGGTGATGAGGATAAGGGGTTGCTCCTTGTCTAGGAGTAGCAGCTCTGCAGGCAGTCTGGCAGCAGAATGTGAGCAGTGCGGAGCAATTGCACCTGCTCACAGGAGGAGAACAGGGGGAGCTGATATCCTTCTTCAAACATGGAAAAAATTACTGCAACAAGGAAAGCAATGAGTTCTCTGTGATGTTCAAACGTGAGGGATTTGCTCTGTAGGGAGAGAGATTTAGGTTAACCACCTGGAATTGAAAGGTTCTCAGTGGGAGGTTGGGAGCACAGGGAGGGCTCGGGCAGGTCTGACCCCAAGGCACACAGGGAGGTCAGGTAACTTTTCAGAGCCAGTTACTGCATTTTCTACTAAAGCTAATAGTGAATAAAGGCTGATGTCACTCCGCTCTACTCAAGGGTTGCTGTGATTATACCAAAATGGGTAACGGGACAAGGAAGAGGCACTTGGTGCTTTTTATCTGTGCCATTCAGAGAGCAGGAAGGTTGGGGTTAAAGCATGTTACAGCTCTAATGAAAGATGATTCACACCGTCATGTCTTGATTTCACTCCCATGCAGAGAAGGCAAATATTCTCAGCAGAGGAGGCACCGCTCAGTCGCTTGGCAGTAAGGCTGTGATGGCCTTGGGCGAGTAGGAGAGCACATCCTTCCTGCCAGGCTGACTGCACGTGTTGGTGTCCCAGGGGCTCGCCATCCCATGCCGTGTTGCCATTGCCTCCATCTCTCCCAGCATGCAGGGTGGGCCGCTCCCAAACCCAGCGTGCCCTGAGCCACCTGCAGATCTTCCCCACCGCCCCGCTGAGGGCAGAGGGCAGCATCTGGGTGGCACAGACTGGGATTTTGGGGTGGCTCTTTTGGATGTGCCAGCGGGTCGTAGGGGATTCTGCAGCACACATCAACCAGAGGACAGAGCAGGATGACCTCCAGCATGAGCTCCTTGCCCTGTGTGATGGACCAGAGCTTGGCACTCTAGTCGGACTTCATGCAATAAGCACAGGGCACAGCAGCATTTTGAAAGAGTATATAAAACCATTGGGCAATGAAAAAAATCATTTAGCCCACAAAAAAACCCTTTAAGCTCGAAGGGTGAGCCCCCTCTGAATTGTTAGAATGGTCTGAAGGCTTAACAAGTTATTTAAAGTCATTGGAGGATATAAGTGTTAAGGCCACCTTCATCATTAACAGGTAACAGTGGGAATACTAGGATCTTAACTATGAGATTTGGACCTAAACATGACCTGATGCTCCCAATTGCATGAGAAACACAGCCATGCTGCCACTTCACATTTTTCCATTTAAATGCACACTGGCAGAAACTAGGCTTTATCTAAATGACTGCAACCTGTGTGCTAGGAACAGAGTGTGGTGAGACTCCTATGGACAAGGCTGCCTCTGAAAATAGGCTTAAAACGGTACATTAACCAACGGGTTTCCACCAGACAGGCAGCCTGGGGTGTGAAATTTCACATTGTGTTCTACGCCATTCACATTTTCCATCCTTTCTATTTGTTCTTGTCCTTCTCACCAGTGTTTCCTAGGAAGAGTTGGAAAGGGCTCTCGTGGGCACCTGGTGGCCCATGGACAGGGGCACGGGTCACTCCAGGGAGGTGGTGGGGACACGGACCTGGAGGTGTTCAAGAAATGTTGTACCAAAGGACACGAGCTGAGGGGAAATATCGATGGCAGGTGGGTGGTTGGACTGGATGTGAGAGGTCTTCCCAACCTTGGTGATTCTATGAGTCTATGATACGATTCCAGGATTCTGCACTTCTGTAGCTCAATGCATTGGGCAGCTGCTCAAAGCACCCTCTGCTGAGCGCAGGGTTGGTGCTTTTCAAGGCAGCAAATGAGAAACACCTGTCTGCTGTGGTGGTCATTGCTCGGTGATCCATCTTCACTGCCAGAGGTGGTCCCAGGCATTCTGAGTGAAGTCCTGTTGGCCCAAAGCAAGGGGAAGAAAACGAGTGAGGATGTGGTGGAAGAGGAAGGAGGGATGGGACAAGGACAAGTCACGGGCACCACGGCCGAGGCCAAGCCCAGCATAAGGAGACACTGGTTCAGTTCTATTTTTCTTATCTTTTATTATAAAGAAAGGTAAGATAAGCATCGTGAATGTGCCAGGTGCTGCGAACACAGCACTATCAAACAACATAAAAAAGTAAAATAAAAATAAAAGAAAAATGCACCTTATGAGAAACCGTAATTATGCTCTCTAATTCTTCATAAATAGACGAAAAATCATTGTCAGCAATTTTTTAAATAGATGGACATATGGCAGGAAAAATATAATAATGCCATACAACATGGATATAAATCGTCCATTTCTTGCTGTACAAATAATAGAAACAAGTTTGGCAGGCTTTTTTTTGTTGTTTTTTTTTTTTTTATACACATCTCCCTTCTATGTATAACTAAAAAATGTGCTACAATTAATATAAAATGCTTTTACTATAAAGTAAACTACTAATTTTTTTCACAAAAAAATCTTAAAGATGTCTTTAGCACAGCTCTAAAACACTTAGTAAACTACTTACAACTATCCAACAAATTATATTTTCATGATCTGTTTCACATTTTCCCTCCCATGTTTTGCCTTCTCCTCTCACCCCACCTACCTAAGAATAGTTTTTATTTACTTTTTGTATTTTTTTTTGCCAGACATCCAAGGCCTTTGCATGTACAATATTCACACAAACTTCACATTTTTCTTGCACAAAGTTTAGTGCTGTTAGCAAGTCAAAAGAGTGCATCCTCCTACTGAGCTGGCCTAATGCTTGAGGACACCAGACCTGGGCTTATGCTGCATCTAAAAGCAGTTCACTAGGAAAGTAGTCTGTAGCTAAGCTGATGGCAAGCAGAAAAATTGTGTCCTTATTTCATTATTATTTTTTTTTGTTGGTTTTGTGTTTATTTATTTTTTTATATTATTTTCTTTTTTTTTGTTGTTGTTGTTCTTTGTGATTAACGAGGTTCTGGTCTTCCACGGAAAGTAGACTTTAGAGTTCAAAAGCAATCAGAGAAAACTGCTCTTAGAGCCTGGGGACGAAGCCAGCGACGAGGTGCAGAGGTTGCTCTCTTGGCAGTACGACTTGCTCGGAGCCTCGCCACGCTGTCTGTAAGATAGACCCTGCCGCGTGTCCTTCATCTGAGCCTCCTGGGACAGATGGTGAGCCTTAGGTGAGGTAGAGTGCCTTGTCCCTCGGCAGCATGCTGTAAGGGAAACGAGAGCAGGAGGTGAGACGGGCAGCAGGGCGGCGCTTGGCAGTCAAATGGGCACTTGCTCAGCCATCTGCACACCTGGCTCAGGGCCACACAACACCCCGAGCTGGAAGGCACTAACGGGGATCGTGGAGCCCAACCTCCGGCTGCACACAGCGCCACCCGAACCCCGCGGCTGGGAGCAGCGCCCAAACGCTCCTCGAGCTCCGGCAGCTCGGGGCTGTGGCCCCAGGAGACGAGTGGGTCCCTCTCCCACATTAAAGCACGATGTGGTATTGCTCTGAAGCCCATTTCATTTCAACGGGCCTTATTGTTTGCCCAGATCCGATCGTCTCCACAAAGACGCCTTGGCCTTAAAAGTAGAGAAGAACACTGCAAAGCTTTGGGAAATTCTGGTGTGGGTGTGATTGTGAGTGGAATAATGGGAAAACAGCAGCCAACAAGCAGTGCTTTTGTTGATAGAGTGCAGCACAGACGAGTCTGCATTTTGCTAATCTCCACGTTTTATAATCTGCATTTTAAATGCAGAGTGCTCCCTACTGCACTCAGCAAAGATTTAATACCAGTGAACAGCAGAGAGGTATTCTGATACTAAAACTTCATTAATTTTACAAAATAGGCTACAGAACACTTCCCAGTTCATTACAGCATATTGCCATAAATAATTGAACCTGAACTAAGTGCATTTGTGATGTTTCACCTCTGTCTTTTTATAAAGTTTGCTCACTTAGTGTCTGATTTGGAAATTTCCCCTGCTTAAGAGTGAATTGCTTCATAGTTAGCAGGGATTGGTGAGGCTGCCAGAATCTGGATGGAGCAGCTGGCTGTACGTGGACAAGGTTTACCTGAGATCATCTCCTCCTTAACCCCAAAGAGTGGGAAAAGAGGAGAAAAGGTGCTGAATGCCGATACCCCAAAAAGAACCCAATCTGGGTGGGGAGGCGAGGCCTCACTTTGCAATCAGCCCGGATGTGACTGCAGGGAGCACCATCACTTCTGGGCTTCAACACTTCTGTGCCACACTGCTGGGCATCCACAGCTCGCCCACCAGGTTGGCATCGATCAGGGACAGCAATGCCAAGGGAGAGACAAGCCAGCACACCTCTGTCACAGCACCAGGCAATGACACACAGGTACTGGTTCTAAGCAGCTCATATAATTTGCAGGCCTAGGCTATGAATGAGGTGAAATTCATTGGAATTTTTGGAACACACAGAATAATGCAGGCTGGAAGGGCCTTGGAACTGCCTGGTTCCCACGCAAAGCAGGGTCAGCACTGAGCAGGTGGCTCAGCATCTTCACTGGGCCTTAACAACATGTCCCAAAACCTGGAGGATAAAGTCACCTACTGCTAATGAAAGGAAGGAGGTAGGAAGAGACTGCTATTCAGTGCTGCCATCACAAACCTAAACAGTAGGAGACAAATGCAAACAAATGCTGAAGACAGCTTTGGTATGGAAAGAGAAGAAAAAAATGGTGAGATACCTGTAGGAATTTCGAAAGTATTTGCAAACTGAGCTGCAACCAGGATAGAGGGGAGCTTGGTGCATTGGAGAAACTCAGTGCAAACGCAGGTATTTGGTGGGTGCCTGGGAATGAGCAAGTGTGAGAGCAAGGCTGTCAGGTGGGGGAGACAGGGGACTGCGTAAGTCTGTGATACGATGGCAGAAAGCAATGAAACTGGATGCTGCAATTGCTTGTGGGAAGTGATAGTCATGCACTAAGATGAGGAAAGGAGGCTCGTGTCTTTGCTAGAAGGCTGGGTTAGCTTGGGCTCGAGCCCAGAAAGAGCTAGAAAAATTGGATGGAAGTCAGTGAGCACAAACTCATTTTAAATGGAGAGAGGATGGGCTAAGAAACATCTAAAGCTCCCTCTAATATGGTTGATTTATGAATTAAGGAGTGTCTGTTTGAAAGATCCTGGAATCTGAGGGGTGTAAGGGAAGAAGAAAAGTTTCATAGCATTATAATCAGTACCAGTTGGCTGGGGGGAAAAAAAAAAAAGCTTCAGCAATCCTTCCTAAAGAGATCTATTAGATGGGGAAGGACAGAGAGAAAGCCCACCTCATTAGCTTTTCAGACGTCTGGATGACAAGCACAAAAGGAAAGCAAGACTGGGAGGTTTTACCCCAGCTAAAGCAGTGCCAGTGCATCACAAAAGCTAAAGAAATGCCAAGGGCAGGCATGAAATCAGCATCCTCATCTGAGCAAATATTAGGGGCTGGTGGGAGCAGGTGGTGATGGCAGTGCTCGTGCACCAGGCTGCACAGTGAAATGAAGGGAAGCTGGTCAGTCTTGGTGCAGGAGATGCTCTCTTAAAAGAGATGGTGACGTTTTTTTGGTGCACTAAGAGCTCTCTGATCTATATGCATCTGAGTTCATTTCTATAACCCACTCTCGTAATTATCTGGCAGTCTCTGCATAATCTGTCTGGTTTTAAAATGATTTTTTTTTCCAGGAAGCTGTGATAAACCCATGAAATTCGATCTTTCTGCTGTGACAAAGTCATGAAATGCATGAGCTTTGATCATGAATTGCATGGGCCCTGTGCTAACAATACAGCGCTACCGCCGGATGGCAAAGGGCTTGTTTTAGCAACACAAAACCCAATCCTGCCTACAATGTTAGCATTTCCCCCGTGTCTGGAAGTCACCTCTGCTCAGCATCTCCACAAATAAGCCTCCAAGCGTTTTGCCCGCAGCATCTAAAATGATTTTTATCATCGAGTGCCAAAGAACTTCCTCTCCTGGGGCTGTCTGCTGGGCCTTTGCTAAGCAGCGTGCCAGATTCCGCACTAGAGCCCACAACAATCCCCATAGCTGACACCCTCCGCAGGCAGATACAGCCCTATTCTCATGGCTTGGTGAGTTATTTATTTCCCTGAAAGGAATAAACGTCTGTACAGTCTGTGCCCAGCCCAGCAATTGTAAGTGCACTGCTGGCACAGGCGGGAGCTGCACTCTGAAAAGCCTGGGAGCTTGCTATTATCTCCAGTGAAAGCACTGTGTTCCAGCACTTCAAGCAAATCAAACAATACTCAGAAGCTACCAACCTCCTTCCCTACCTGCTCTAGCAGCAGCCACCGTGCCTGTTTGACAGAGCACAAGAGCAGGCTTGAAGCTGTTAATGCTGAGCCAAGAGAGCTGGATTAGGCTGTGTTTGGAAATGGCTTTTACACCCTCACTCTTGGCCGGCTTTGAGATGATCCTGATGTTTTTATTTATTGGGGAATTCAGGCAGCATTAAAGGGACCTTTGTGCAGGCCCTTTCAAGGTGTAAGTGGGAAGATCTGGACAGAAGTCCACCTGCAAGGTGCAGAGGACTGAAGTATCACCTACTGTACCTACTGTAGGGAACCTGCTTTGGCAGGGGGGTTGGACTCGATGATCTCTGGAGGTCCCTTCCAACCCCTACAATTCTGTGATTCTGTGATTCTGTGATTCTGTGATTCTGTGATCACAGCTCCAAGGAGGATGAGGCTTTGTGCCCTCTGTGCTTAAACCCTGGGATGGACAGAGACAGCTAGAGGAGACCGTGGCCTTGGTGGTAAGAGTGATCACTTCAGAAGCAGGACATTGCTTATGGACACGGCCAAACACTCTCCAACACCAGTATCCATTTGGCCTCCAACCCCAGCATCTCCTGGGATTCTGCTTGTGGTACACTACAGAGCCACAAAAAGTGAAGCTCTTCAACATGTTCAGTTTAAGCTTCTCTAGCAAGCAGCAAAACCACAAATGCTGCAATAATCGTAATCATAGGGCATAATCACAGAACCATAGAATCACTATGATTGGAAAAGACCTCTCAGATCTTCTAGTCCAACCATCCACCTACCAACAATACTGCCCAGCCTGTCCCTAAGTACCACATCTACACATTGCACCAAACACTCACAGGACGTGGATACTTTTGTACTCTGGGTGACAGCCATGCTGAACTCAACGCACATAATGGGCTGGGCTTCCCTGTCTTGCTCTGGAAGAAAATGTCTCAAACCCTTCCATTGCTCACGGGATGGAAAAACTCCAAAAAGAGAAAGCCATTCATGTCCAATGAAAATATTATCTGTGATTTTTAAGCTACCTGCCTCCATAATCAGTCTTTCAACTTGCTGTCCATTTTGGGGTAGGTTCCCAGCTGTTGTAAGCTGTCAGACTTCCAACCATTTACAAAGACATGTTGCACTCTGTGCTTTGTGGTTAAAAAGTGCTGACCCCTTTTGCTCACAGGAGGCAGAAAGACCTCTGCAGAAATTGCTCCCAGAACTCAGTGATGAGTAAACCAAGTTTAGTGGCACTTCAAGCAACTCAAGTGACTCAAGCCTAGGACTCAAGCTATGGGAGGAAGCACCGTGACAAAGAAATGCAAATTGTTTGTGCAACGTGACATCTTCCTCTGTTTATCACCCATCCCTTTTGGAACAACAAACAACCATACGTTCATAGATGAGATGAGAGAAAATATGTGAGCAAAGCCCTGCTGTCTACTGGCCTGCAGTGGTTAATGCCACACTCTCTGCTGGGGTAGTCATTGTCCCACTCAGTGCTTCCTGCAGGGTTTGATGCACCAGGCGAACGGGGTCCAACGCTGTTTGGAAACTCAGAGGAGATGTGTGAGAAGTCCTGTGGGGTGGAGAGAAAAGGAAGGGTTAAATGCATGGACAGAGGCAGGAGACACCGAGCATCTAAGAATATTGCACAAACATGATTGCATGCCCCAAAAGCACTGCAGTGCAGGGTGTAGAGCCATTATATGAGGAGAACAGCCCAGGACCCAAAGCTCCATGGTGGAGCTGAGCAGAACATGAGCTGCTGCAAGCATGTATCCATGCAGCTACATCTCCCATCCCTCTGCCCCTCTGTTATGTGGGTCCTCAAGGGAGTGGTACGTGGCTGCAGGAGAAGCACAGCCAGGAAAGCCTTCACATCAGTATTTGGGCAATCGAACCCATTTTTCCACTTGAAGTGCAGCTCCCTTTGCAGTAAGGCATCAGCCCGTCACAGAGCATGGTAACAAGGTGAGGAACAGCCACACAAGTCTCTGTCAGCTGTCACTGCTGGCAATTTAACGAGGGCTCTGTGGGGCTGTTTGATCTGAAAGCCAATCATGATTCCAATTTTGCGGGGCCTCCTTAGTTAGGCAATGCGTATGAAAAAGCAGAGTTGTGGCAGTTACCTGACCAAGATTATGATTTTATCAGAAACATCCAAATTAGGGAAGCAAGTCTTTTTTTTTCCTTACATTTAAATTTTTACTAACAAACACGTGGAATGAAGCTTCACAAAATGCTGCCCTCAGCAACTACAAATATCCCAATGAATGTGATTATGAGGATCCCCTGAAATACCAAGGCTACATTTGCTTATGCAGAGCCAAAGCACTACCAAAGTGTGGGAGAAGTTATGTGGGATACCCTGAGCAAGCTGGAAATAAAATTCTGTGCTTGGATTTACTTTCCCAGATGTATCATCTTCTTCTAATGGTCAGGAATGACTGTGCTTCCACGTCCCTGCTCTCCTTTCCCCTTCTTCCACTGTAATAGCTATTCCAAAATGAACAATTTTTGTTTTCTCAAAGCTAGTCCCAAACTGAATGGGTCATATTATGTGAAAGAAAGCTTTGTTCATTGCTAAAGTACTGTGTGAATTTTGTGATATACAGCTAGTAAACATGTGAAACCCAAATTACTCAACCATCTGGGTGAATAATACAGTTAAAAGTATCATCAAGTAAATGGTAGCAGCTGTGAATTCAGAGCATATGTCCTTCACTATGAATAGTTGGTCCAGTTCATATTCCAGATGGAGAAGCTCTGGAAACCACTCATCTCCCTCTCCATATACTGGCATGTTCTCTATGAGACAGAGGGCTGGTTCTTGCTGCAGCCTGTTTTTCCTCCAGATCCATGTTCTTATCAGGTTTAGAGGAGCAGCAGAGACTCCTCAGCCTGGCTGCTCAGTGCTGCCAGCCACAAGCACGGCTATGGGTGGTTTCTTTCAGCAGATTTTACACATGCCTAGCATAGGTCTGTGTGATTCCTGTTGCTGTTATGCTGTTAGCACAAGGATACATGTAAGTATCCTCTTGGCTCCCTGCCACAACAGCAACGTCCTCCAATTGCTAGGCAATTTTGGGAAAAATATTCATTATGTCCTTTTTTTTTTTTTTTTTTTTTGTGGCATTCCCTCCATCCTTTTTCTCTTCATCCTGGTGAAACACAACTCTGCTGTTCTCTGGTGACCTTCCAGCTCCTCTTTTGGCAATGTTACCAGGGGGATTCTCACTGCCCATCTCACTGAACCCATTGCTTCAGATGACCATCGGTGAATCCAGGCAAGGCTGAGGGACCACAAGCATAAGGAACTTCTACCAGGGGCAAACCCAACTCCTGCAGCTTTTCCCATGGACAAAGCCTTCACTGCTCCAGTTGCAAACCCTGCCCTGTCTGTGGGGGTACTGATGCTCCTAGGTGTCTCAGCACTTTGGACAACACCACCCCAAAATGCGTGATGGAGGATGTGCAAAGTGAGCAAAAGCCAGGAGAGGCTTCCCTGACTGCCCCCACTGGGGCTGATCTCCACGCTATGGTGACTCACACCAAAATCCTTCCAGAAGGGACGATATCTCCACCCCCAAACCACACAATGACCAACTGACCCAACGCAATGAAGAGGAAACATCCACCTTTTATCAAGCACATTGCAGGTCATGCACTCACCTGCTGCCCGGGAGGCGAGGAGTTCATGGGAGGCTGTACCTGTAGTGCCATGGGGGGGGGACAGGAGGGGCTGCTGGGGGACCTGCTGCATGCTGATGGGCTGGCTGAGGAGGGAGCTCTGCGGGTGATGCAAGGAGAGCTGCTGGTGCAGGGGAGGGCTGATCTGGAAGGCGGGTGGTGGGGAGGCACTGATGCTGGGCAGCATGGGCTTGGAGGGCAGGGTCCTGGGGAGGCTGGGGTGGCCGCGGTAGCTCTGCAGGTCCGATGGGGACAGGAAAGAGCCCAGGCCGGGGTAGGGCGACGAAGCCTGCGGTGGCATAGGGTACATGGTCTGCTTGGGTGGGATCATCTTGGAAGGTGGGTTGGTTTGGGCACTTTTCGTCTCCCCCTGGTCAGCAGAGCTCTGTGGGAAAACAGACTGGAAGTGGGTGAGGGAGGAAGGACGCACCATCATCCGTCCCCAGGCACTTGTCCTGCCCAACCACGCAGAAGCATGATTTGCACCAAGATCCTCCTGGGGCTTGGACCGATCATGCTGCTGAACTCTACGCCTGTCCTACCCAGCACATGCACCTCCAGCCCAATGGCTGGGCACAGAACCCGGAGCTAAGAAATTTAAGTCCAATAACTCAACTGTGTGTTGAAAAAGTTTTTCACAATAAGACTGGTGAGGCACTGGCCCAGAGAGGTGATGGATGCCCCATCCCTGGAGGGGGTTCAAAGTCAGGTTGGACCAGGCTCTGAGCACCTGATTTATCTGTAGGTATCCCTGCTCCCTTTCAGAGTGGCTTCAAACTCAAATGATTCTATGACTGTGATCTGGCAGAGCCTGGAGCACAGGAGAGGCACTAATCAGCATGGAGACAAACTGCCTGTCCACTGCTCACTGCTTAGGCCCACGTAGGTGGGTGACAAGATCACTTTTGCTTCCATTAAGGAACAAATGGGACTTTAAAAATACTCCTTTCTTAATCTTGAGCACTTCTGCAGCCCTGTGGGGTCTATAGTGCACAACACAATGGTGGCCTCATTTCTGAAGGAATAAGAGAAGAATAACAGGACATTATCTGGCTCGGACAATGAGGTTTTTATCCGGCGATGGGCTCTGTAATGATCCTCCAGATCTTTTCTCACCCATCAGCAGGGAACACACAGTGCTGTTTTACTCAAAATAAACTTGTTCTGCAAAAAATTGGTCATTGGAGAAAAATGGATCCATGGAGTGTGGTGACTCCATGCCCTCCATACCCCACATCACTGCTATACATGTTCAAGGTAAAACCCTCATAGGTTTCTGGAATAAGAGCTTTTAAATCCCCAAATAGTTATTTCCACCTCCGTTTCAGACATCTGTCCCTGCTGCTGTTCTGTTCGCAAGTTAAGACAGTGACAGTGCTCATGTCTGTGCCAAAGCTTTGAGCCTGCCCAGCCCACACCACAGTCACATGGATTCCACAGATGATGGTGGATCTGGGACATCACGTTATCTCCTGTAGCAGCTAAATATGATTAGTAGGTACTGAGGGTGTGGTATAGATCCAAGCACATACAGTACATCTAGCACAGCACATCCAGGGAGCATGAAGCGGACAAGGCATTTTGCTGCTCCAGCCCCATTCTGCCCCCCAGAGTGTCCTGAGCATGTCCCAGCACTGGGCCAGGAGCTGCGGGCTTGCTGGAAAGCCCACAAAAGCTTTGTGAGTCTTTGCACTCGTGACTGGCCAAACACAGCAGAGATGGATCAAGGCATGGACCAAGACATGACATGTTCAAAGAAGAACTAAGGCACCCTAAGAGACATGGCAGCAGTTCAGTACCACTGCAAGGTGCTTGTGGGCAGGAGATGGAGCATCACTCCAGTAGAGGTGGCCTCACCAGTGCAGGTCTAGCCTCCTCCCTCACCTTTCTCAGTGTCGAGATATGGGCAGCAAGGAGAAGCAGGTTTGTGGGGTGGCAGCTACACGAACTACCATCTGTTGGCACTCTTGGAGCTCACGGTCCAGGGCAGGTGGGGATCCGTCCCCCTCCTTTTTGTGTGCCCTCCCTCAGTCCTGGCACTACCAGCATGATTACACAGTATTCCTTACAAACTCAGAAACCCAGAAAGTCCCATGGGTTGCAGTGAATTCATCACTGCCACGTGCAGAGACAGCATGTCCCAACATACCTTGGAGACCAGGCTGGCCCGGTATGCAGCCAGGGCTTTCAGATACTCCTTCTTGGCAGCTTCTGTTTTCCTCTTGTATGCCTGCAAGGACCAAATAATGAAGAATTACGATCGAAGCAGAATGGGGTGCTGCTGGGTTGGCTGCACCCTCTCTGCTCTGTGGAAGCCTGCGTGACCCAAGCAGGGATGGCATTCTAAAACACAGCATGAAAATCTCAGTTCTTCCAGGGAGGAACTGACTTCAAATCAAGCAAATAAAGCCCTGAAAGGCTTTTATAGGGTGAAATCTCTGTGTTTGCTTTCTGAATAGGAGCTAGAGGAGAGTGAGATCCAGGCTCTTGGTGGAACAACACAAGGCCAAGTCCCTGAATTACCTTAAGAAATGGCGAGTCATTCAGAAATCCTACACTATTGCCTCTCTTTCCTGGCTTTCCCGTTATTAAACCTAAAGTTCCTACTCTTCAGCTTTTCTCTGCAGCCCTAGCAGCAGGGAGGTCCTTTCCGCGACATATCAAAGCTGAGATTCTGGCCTAATCTCATGACTTTGTGATCTGGGGCTTGCAGAGAAACAGCAAGTAAAACGAGAAAAAGCTTTGTAAGAGTGGATTAGTGTTTATTCTCCTTTCTTCACCTCACAGCTTCACAGGGTTGGTCTCCTTTCTGCCCCAAGTCTGGTTCCCGTTGCATGGAGAAATAACGGCGTTCTCCAGGCAGGATGGCTCCCTATAGGGTGAAGCACATCCAACTGAACAAGCAAGAAGAATATTTCAAAATAGAATAAAAAATACAGGCGAAAGGAAGAAACTCCCTAGAAAAATATCTGTCAGCTCTCTGCTGGAAAGTCAAAGCCCTCCTCAAGCGGCACAAATGAAGGTAATTTCAATTAGGACAGCATTGCATATATTTCATTCTGCTTTAAAAACAGCACCAGCCTTGAACAATCAGCACACTGAAGCCTGGTGGGGAAATACAGCTAATTTCTGAGGAGTTCTGTTTGCTTGCTGTTGTACCAGGCCCTGAGCATGGGCACATGGGTATGCTGCCCATACCCATGGGATGGTGCTGGGAGGTGATGGATTTGGGGTGATGACTTCTACCAAAAGAGCAGGAAAAGTAAAATTACTGCAGCAGAAGAGTCTTTGTGAAATTTGTTCGAGCAAATTGAGCAGAATTTCCTTTTCCATTTGGGAGTTTGACTCAGCATTGCTTTCATGTTGCCCTTTTATAGTTCTTGTGCCACCTGCCATGGCAGCACCCTTCCAATAGCAAAGAACTTCCGAACAGAGGAACCAGCTCCAGCAGCCAAGCCACCCAGATCCTTGAATTTCTGTCCAAAATCACTGCAGATTAGGTATATTAAAAAATGATTGCAAACCTTATTTTCTCCACTAAATCGGGGAATTCTGCAATAAAGCGTTTTGCCTCGACGTGCTGCAGATCTGCAATTTTCTGAAACGGAGCGTTTTCCTAAGTTTGTCTTTGGCTTTGTGGCATTCAGGAAGTATTGCTTCGTTCAGAACAAAATTACATTTTGAAATGTCAGCCTGAAGAAGAGTTTGCCCGTGAAAAGCAGCTATTTCTTCAAGCTGCACCCTAATAAAAGCTATTACTTCTCCCTACAATCCTTGCCTCCCTTACACCCTTCACCCGTCATGGTGAAACCAGAGATCCCAACACAGCATTTACTGTAAAACAGAGACGTGGAGTTTCCAGCAGCTCTGCTTGTAACAGATGCTCTTAAGGGCAGTATTTGATGCTGCACAACAGTAACATATGAATTCCTTCATCTCAGGCTGCTACAACGTTGGCCACAGTGGATATCCACACGGATAGGTCAGTTATTTGGAAGACTTGTCTGAAGAAAAGCTGCACTTCATGGCCATGGGCAGGGAGAGGGAGAGGGTTGGGAGAGGGCTGGTCTGTTACACTTCCTTAACCTAAATGCAAATAAATGGATAACTAACCAATTCAGTGCCTACATTCATCTCGGGCACTTAATCTTTCTGTGCTTTTTTCCCTACTCTCCATCTGTCCCTATCTTTCCCAGCACATGGCACAGCTGCCCAGGGAGTGGGTGGAATCATCATCCCTGGAGGTGCTCAAGAGCCACGGAGATGTGGCAATGAGGGACGAGGTTTTGTGGCATGATGGTGAGGGGCTGATGGATGCACTAGATGATCTTAGTGGTCCTTCCAACCTTGATGATTCTACAAGTCTACAGGCACTGCACTGTGCTGGTATCTTTGCCCATGGCCAAGTCCCAGGTCTATTCCTGTCCCCATGAATGGGGTTCAGGGCAGGGCAAGGGGACATCAAGCCTACGGTGTGTCTGTGGATGCTCTCCCACACCCAGCTGTGTCCATCTCACAGGCGTTCCCAACAGTCCCCCAGCTTGGTGACCATTCCCATGTGCTTCCTGCTGGGTCATCTGTCCGAGCACACAGCCTTTCCTGCATTCACAGTCTGCTCTAATGAGAATGCTTAACAGCAAAAATGCAGCCCGCCGTGTCACACAGACCTGAGCACAACTTCTCACCAATCCTCTCTGCAAAAGCAGCTTCACTGCAGTATTTATAACCTTTACAATTTTAATTTAAACACTGACAAACCCATGTTACTTTCTAATTAAATCCCATTCTCTCCCAGGGATTTTAATTTCCAAGTAATTTATCAGATTTAAGGATCCTCAAAACATTTTGCATGTTTTCCTCTCTAACCTGCCATGCCCGCTGACTTATTTTTCCTACTTGCTAGCGGGAGGATTCATTAGTCATTAAGCGAGTGGGTGGGTTGGGGGGGGAGCAGAAATGGTTAGTGATTATGAAAACACGAAATCAGAGCTGTGAGAAGCATATGTTGGGATCGTAATCCTGACACCTCTGTGTCTCAGCAAAGCAGCTAGTAATTGTACCGTAATGAAATGTTCTTGTTTGATAACCAGTTAATTAGAGAAGACAATTATTCCGAACCCCGCTGACGCCCACGAGCAGCTCGGTGTCGTGCAGGCACAGAGTGGCAGCGGGAGCTGTTATCAGTAACCTCTGTTCCCAGGCATTAACAGCAATGCTGCTTTCCAAGCCTGCAGAGGAGCGAGGGGGACACTGCCCAGACCCACCCTCCTCCTCCATGCAGGGGATGCCTTGGTTTTACATTATCAGTGTCTGCTGATCCTGGTGCACAGCCCCCTGCTGCAATGCCAGGTGGAGTTTGGGGCATTTTGCTTCTAAAAAGAGATAGGGGTGGAGGCTGAAGCTCGATGTTCCTCAAGGTCCTTTCCGAGCTGAGCTGCTCTGTGATTCTCTGATAGACCATGAGGAGAGAAAAGCTGACAAGCAGAGTGACCTAACCAAATGAAGGACTCCACTGACTTAGAAGACCAGGAGGAAGCACAGCCTCCAAATGTGACACAGCAAAGAAGGAGGCAGTGACCGATACTCCACAGATAGGAAAAGAGGCAATGAGCTTAAACTGTAGCAAGGGAAACATTGGCTAAGCAAGAGCAGAGCATTCCTAGCAGTAAGGATAATTAAACACTGGAAGAGATTGCCTGGGGAGATGTGTAATCTCCAGCATTGAAGGTTTAAGAACAGATTAGGCACACATCCATCAAGAATGGCTTAAGTAGAGCTGATCCTGACTTCAGGCAGCAGTATGGTCTGGCTGACCTCTTAAGACTCTCCTTGCCCTCCTTTCTATGATTCCATGACTCTTTCCCCCCAGACGTATACATTTGGATTTTATTCTGCTTGTAATTCTGGAGATTTTTTTTCTTGTAACTATTATATTCTTTCCTTGAAGTTATCTCTTGGGATCATCACAATTTATGGCTTATTTATATGATGACTTGAGAGTACTTCCTTGCTACACCCCACCACCTATCTGCTTTGCATGCAGCCTTCACACCTCCACTGGGAGTGCATGTAACAAACACACCCACATCATACTGCCATTCCTATCCAGCTCTTCCCCAAGTCATTGCATCCCCCTCCTGCTCTCTTCTTGGGACAGACTTAACCCACCCCTCTCCCATAGCAATGAGCCAACCCAAACCACTTTCTTTTTTGTGTAAACATTAACACACCTTCTTCTGTCCAGTAGCTGTGCTCTGGATTCCTAAAGCCTGATGCCAACAAGCTTGGCCATGGGAAGCACCTGTCCATGATGACAATTGTGAGGCTGCTAACTAGGTGCTCTGTGTCCCCAGGCTCTGCCAGCTACAGTGTCTGACAGCCCTGAGGACACCTCCATGGAAGGCTCTTGCTATGGAACTGTTCTCATGGCTTCAGAAGAGCTCCTCCCTTATGCTGGTGGAGCAGCACAGTGAAGCAGTCCTTAGGAGAATGAATGGAAAGGCACATCCCCAAGCAGCAATTACCATAAAGTGTCCCAAACTATTCCTGCTATTTTCCCTCTGCCATCGTGTCACCTGGGTGTAAGTCAGCTGTTCCTCCAGAAGAGCCTCCAAAATGAAGCGGAGGATGAGGGTGACAATCCAACCCTAAACCTCCAAGGAGGAGGAAAAACACACAATACGCACCTTTCCCAGCTCTCATTTTGCTCCTCACACTTTTGGAGCTGCTTTCAGAAGCAGTCCTGCCTTTTCACATCTTCCTGGTCACTACCCTGATCTCCACAGATCTCTCCTGACATCATTTGGGATTGGTGCTTTCATTCTTCTCCAGTACACGACTCTTCTTGGCACTCGAAAGATGCTATAACTGGGCTCCTTCCTTGCCCCTTGCTGCCAGGTGTTGGGAAGTAGCCAGCAGCACTGCTGGCTCCTGCTCTGACGGCTCTGGAGCAATGCTGGAAGAGGGCAGTTTGCTGGCCATGCTGCATTCAAACCCCACTCTGCGATGGCTCTGCCAAAATACGGCCTTCCAGCTGGCCCTGGACTTGTCTGTTCTCTAGACATATGTAGTGTCCTGTCACCATGTGATGGATCAGGTTCAATGAGCAGATGGAGCTGATTAGATGGGTGATCTATTATTTTGTGCTGAGCAAGTAATTCTTCTGTTGGGCAATTTATCCCTGGAGTCTGCATGCTGTGTTATTCTCAAGGCTGTGCATATGGATGGGAAAATCACGTATGTATCTTGCCATGGAACAGCTCTGCATGGCTGGTCCAGCATGAGCATCGTGAGCTCACATGTGTTGGAACACTTGTGCCCTTGGTGGGTCCCCAGACCATTCTCATGCCTCAGGCCCTTTTCAACCTCTTAGGACAGTGCTGTCATATAGAAATAACACTGAGCAGGGGATTCTGGAGACTCGAGCAGGGCCAGGAGCTGCGGGAGGCTCACAATGCCAGGTACCCCACTGGATGATAATGGCTGCATTAGCATTTCTCTCTCCACCGAAGTCTAAGCTATCTCTACAGGAACAGCTGCTAAACTATTTGTAAAGTTCAAAGAGTACGTATTAATATTTTTTCTTTCCCGAGTCACATTCTTCAGATTCCCATGTAAGCTCCTTAGGAAGGACCACGCCAGCTGTTGAAGAATGCAGATTACAACGTCCCGCTAATGCAGCACTGCAGATATTTCAGGGCATTGTTATTTGTGGCTGTGAGGCACACTCAGCCATGCTGGAAGGGGTTAAAGTGGGGAAGAAAACCGCCACTTGCTGAACAGGTGTCCTTGAGCAGTACCCAAGGACACGGAGATTGCTAATCCTGTATTCCACAGCATGATCAAATCACCAGGCAACAGATATAAATAAAAAAAGGCAGGAAATAAGGAAATTTAGATACAAGTGTGTCAGAGGGAAAATGAAGATTCATTGTGAAGAGGCTGAGAAGAGGAGAAGAAGAAGGAACAAAATGACAAAGGCACAAATGATAAACCAGTGAGAACGACAGAGAGGGGAAAAAAAGCCCCTCTGTGAAATGCATGGCTGTGACAGCAGCAGCCAAATCAAAGATGCTCCTAGATTATATGGTTTCTTGCATAATGTGCATTCTGATTCCCGCTCAATGTTTGTCTTTCAGCTCGTGCACAAGGAAGAAAAAAAAAAACCAACATATCTGAAATGGTACGTGAGCAACCTTTATTTTGCTTGTTTCATCAGGAGGAGAAAGCAAATTTGCTTTGTGGGAGCAGCAGCACCTGCTCAATGGCAAATAAATAGCTACAGCTTTGATATTACAATGCATATAATCATTAGCAGCCCAAATGGCAAGGGATTAACCCTCTCAGTGCTGCCTGTCCTCCCTGGCACATAGTTGGCATCCCAGTTCCTATTGTAGAAATGGTGGGAATTGGGTTTATAGCGTCCTTCCCTGTGCTGTCACTGACCAGGCAGGAACAAAGCATGCTCTGGGCTGGTGAAACACTGAGCCTGCTGGCAAGCAGAATGAGGTGGGTAAACCTCATCTGAAGCAGAAGCTACAGCAATGAAAGCATCAGGCTATGAGCTGCATGGTGGGGATGAGCTCTGCACATCAGCCTGCCAGAGAAGCAACGCCCCTGCCCAAATATCCTCCTGTCTTTGGGGTACGAGGGATCCAAGTCCAGGACTACAGTGCAGCTTCAGATCTCACCCACTAGCCCCAAATCTCACAGCAGGACCAGGGGAAGCTTCCTTTAACTAAAGCCTTGGTCTGACTTGAGCGAGGAAATCCAGACTTAGCGCTCTGCAACTCTTCTGCAGTGAGATTACGAAGGTGAACTAAAAGGTTTCAGATGGATCTGAACCATCATTGCTGAGATGTCCTGCTTGGTCACTGTCCCCTCCCCAGAGCACTTGGCTGTCTGCCTTCATTACACATGCCCATCACGCTTGCAGTCCTTGGTAGAAAGGACATGCTGGACATCCTTGTTTTTATGTTTTGAAGACATTTGGCTAATGTGTTTTCTACTTTCTTCCTTTTTGCTTTCCTTCTTTCCATTGTGTTGCCTTACAAATCCAAACAAACTTGACAGAATTGCTGGCAGGAGAAAGCAAACAGGGGCTAAAGGGGCTCTCATCCACCAGGCGCTCAACACGCGAACGTGCCCCATTGCACAGAGCAGCACAGAGCAGCACGGTGTCCCTGCAGCCTGGAGGTAGCTGTGCTGGGAGGGGAGCACACAGCTGGAGACAAAGGCAGGAAGTTAATATTTAAGCATCCAGACAAGGAACAAATGACTTAATCAAATCAATTACAGAGGGAGAAATGGAGCCACTTAGAAAGCACGTGTAAAGAGACAGCGAGGCTGCTGCTATCTCATGGAGGAGAAGAAGGGAGAGTTAGCGGGGAAGATAAACGGACTGGTTAAATCCCTGCTGTTAATTAAGAGCCCAGCATTTGCACTGTGCTGAGTCAGGGTTGCCACAGTACTTCCACTACATAAACTACATTTGCAGATGAACTCAGAGCCCAACCTACAGAGATATTTCTATCCAGATGGAGTAAGGGAGAGCAGGATGTCAGGAGGGAGGAAGGCAGCAGCAAGAGGAAACAGAGAACCTGGGGCAAGTTTTATCCATGCTCCTGGACCCCTTGCACCATGGCCGAAAGCCATTCCCTGCACTGCAGAACCTGGGAGACAGCCTCATGCTTCAGAGACAGCCTCACAGCCTGGAGACAGCCTTACAGTCCTGGGGACAGCCCCATGCCCTCAATCACTGCACCCACGGGCTGCAAAGGAAGCCCGGATGGCCAGAGGACTTCGGATGGATTTCAGGAAGAAGGTGCATGAGAGGGAAAGGCAGAGTTGTCAAAGCAACACATTGCCCACTGTGGTGACTCCCAATGGACCAGCAAAATGGCTGTCAGCCAGGCAGACTGCCCTGTTTGTAAGGTGTGGGATGGAAAGCAAGACAATTTCCTAGCAGCATGACTTCCATTTCAGTGATTTTTCCTTGCTGCTGTTCCCGCCCTAAATGCAACTGCTTTGAGTCCAGGCCATGGGCACCCAACCAGAGTTGGAGCTGTACTGAGAGGAGGGCTCTGTGTGGGGAGGACTGTCAGCCCCAGTGTGGTTGGGCTCACAGATGCATCACACACAGTGTCAGACCTCGCTCTGCCCAACAAAAAGTCACGTGTGCAGTGGAAAGTGTTCCCTGGGGTTTTCTCAGCAGGGACCAAGCAATTACAGACTGCTGTAACTGACTCAGCATCAACAAAGCAGTTGAACCCAGACTCGCATGTCTCCTGCGAGAATGAATGCTGTCAACAGCCGTGAGGCAGGAAGGTTTCCTCTGCAGGGCCACTTCAGATGTATCCCACTCAAGCCTTTAAGCCCTGAACATTCAATTTCTGGCCAATGAGGTAGAGAGCTAACCATTTTTTTCCAGTTTCCAGTCACTCTTCGTAAGCAAATACATAAACATTTTCCATAAAAGAGCTCATGCCAGGGAAATACCACTGAGGTTGTTACAAAGCATGTCCTTATCAAGAACAATTAATTATCAGAAAGATTTGCACTTCCCCATGTAACAGCATAGTTTTTCTACAGAAAGAGCAGAGGTGAAACAGACAGTGTATCCTACAGGGCCCCTGACTGTGATCCTGAATATCCTGGGGAGATGTTGACCCTTTGCAGTGGAAAAACACATTAATAGCTGAACAAAAACCACTAAATAGATAACTTACTTGTTTTTGTTCTTCTCCCAAGCCGTCCCACATAGATGCAACAATTTTTGATACGTCTCCAAAGGTAGCATTGGGATTTTGCCCTTTGATAGCAGCTTGTGTGTCTCTGAAAAACAGGGCATATGCTGACACGGGCTTCTGAGGCTCATTGGGATCCTTCTTTTTCTTCTTCTTTTGGCTTTTGGGCTTTTTGCCCAGGTCTGTTGATGGTCTTTTCTCTCCAGTGACCTGCAAAAACCAAGAGAGTCCCTTAGTGGGCAGCTATGGACTGTCTGAAATAGGTCTTTTTCCAGCTGATCAGGAGTGGGATGGGATGGGGCAGGGGCAGGAGGACGGCCAGCACGGTGAGGATGCCCTAGGGGTCTTTTCTGCCCCTCCTTCCAAAGCTGGGCTTTCTCAACATTGACCCTCAGTCACCTCCCTCCCTGGCATCACAAGATCACTCTCTTCATCCTCTTCCAGGACCTCTCCAAACACACTGCTTCCCAGCTCTTGAATTTCTGCAGACTCATCCTGCTGACATCCATTCCCACAGCGCTCCTTTGCAAGTTGCTGTTGGCAATCCTCATCCTTGCATGACTAGACCTCCCCATGCCCACGGCAGAGGGCACAAGCATGCACCAAGCAGCGCATACATTGGCTGCCCAAACTTTTTTTCACCCTGCTGGTGCTCAAGTACTGCCATCCATACAAACATACAACAACCAACTCTTTAAACTCTGTGTATTAACTGCTTCACAGGCACTGTTCCCTTATTGCAATCTGTCTTGGTGCTGCCAGACAAAGCTTAGGTGCTTGAACCAAAGGGTTGGGAGCCAACCAGTGAGGTGCAAGCAGGGGTGTTTCCAGTGGAGGCAGCACAGAACCAAGATCCCATCGCTGAGCTTGTGCCTGGGCAGGCTGTTAGACATATGGGGCTGTAGAAGCCGTGGAATGCAACCTCTGGGCAGTGCTTGACTGCTCATCAGAGGTCCCAGAGGTCCCAAGGCACCTCCTGGCTTAAATACTAAGATACTACAAAAACTGCACATCCTGTGAGTGCTGGGAGCAAAAGATCTTTGCTCCTGATGGGTTTGCTAATTTGATTGTGAGCACAGAGGGCTTGGATTTCAGAAGCTTCATATACGTTGGTACATTCATCAAGGGGAGAAAGGGCAACCCTGCTTGTGTTCTATGTACAGGAGAGCTCAACCAGCCATTAAGATCAGTATCAGTGCAGTGACATTTGTCAAAGAGACAGTGACCATTAGTGAATGAGCAGAGAGACTGAAAAAATGGCATTTAATTTAAAACTGTCCAATTGGGCTTGAATAGGAGGCACTGAGGTGAAAGGCCTCCTTATTAGGAGGACAGAAATTCATAACACGGCTTCAGTCCATTAGCAAGCAAGATGGCATCGTAACTAACCAAAGTCCTGCCTGATTCACCACAGGGGAGGCTGACCTCACAACTGGTGGCCATGGGAAGTAGCTGGGGACTTGACAGAACCATAAAATCATAGAATGGCTTAGGTTGGAGGGGGCCTTATCTATCATCTTGTTCCAACCCTCCTGCCATGGGCAGGGTTGTCAACCACTAGATCTGAAGGCAGAACACAGCTGACAGCTTTGGGGCTGGAAGGTTTCCTTTCACTGCAACGCAACGGCCATGACAATGGCTATGGAGCCAGCCCTGCACACAGAGCCAATGGCATTGATGGAAAAGCCAAACAGGACATCCTCAGAGGTGCTGGCAGCCCTCATAGATGTCAAACCCTCAAAGGGCTGAACCTTATGGACACCATGATATTCAGAACTATGGAGATCTTTAATCCATCTGGGATCTGACAGCTGGTTATAATCACATCTCCATCCCTGGAGCGACACAGCAGCTAACCACCCCAGTACAGCTTGGAGACCTCCTACAGTTACAGGGTCCCTACCTCTGAGGACCTTCTGCACCTGAACCACCCTCTGCCATCGGACCCATTTATTTAATGCGCAGCTTTCTTGTCCACAAGATTGATTTCTGTTCACTGGACATTGCTTTGATGACCTGTTGTACAAGGACCATTAATGGCCATACAAAAAATGACTGATGAGTCCCTCAGAATGTTTCCAACAGCTGTGTATATAGAGAAAACAAACAGAAACCTGCAGGGCACACAGCAGCTCTTCTGCTTTCTTTACACTTCTGCTCTCCTTTCTCCATCAAATACATCACTCCTGTTTCACCCATCAAGCCAGGCAGTTCACAGGGCAGAAAAATGAGGGGTATACATGTAAGATCACAAAAAATCAAACCGCTGCATGTAACTTGGACATCTCTGCATTCCTCCTACCCCAACATGCATCAGTGGGCCAATGAGATCCACCCACCAAACCATGACAGGAGAAGAACTGAACGATGCCAGAAGAGGCAGTGAGAGGACTTGGTGTGTAACTAAGACGAAAACTCATTTTCCACTGACAGATTACAGCTGTGTGATACAGGCTCAGGGAACAGCCCATGGTGTCCAGTGGAACATCCCATCCTACAGAATCCCCAAACATGCAGTCAGAAGGTGTGTGAAGTTCTATCTGTAATCAATCGTGTACCACATCTTTTCATAATTTTAGTCCACCAGACCTCAGTTTGGCATACACAAGTGCTCTCTGCTTTGAAATGCTCTGATCTGAAGTGAAAGCTGACAATGGATAAAAAAACCTACATTAATTATGAGAATAATTTTGCCTGCATTTCCTTGGAAATGCATTTGCTCTTTTTGCTAATTCCTGGCATTTTCCTGCTTCTTTTCCAGTCCCTTCACTGTTTCTGGTTCTGGTTATACATTCACATCCCATCACAACTAGATATTTTTAGAGGATAAGGCTGCAGCATTGGTTCTTCCGACATCATCCCTGGATCAGCACTTCCAGGAGAAGGCTTTCCATGAGAGGCCTTTGATTAAAACCCACAGGGAATGCAGGGGCTTGCCTAAATGGAGACCTTAGGGTGAAGAGATAGTGACCCTGTGATCACTGCAAGTTGTCCACAACAAACAACAGAGAGCAAACTCACAGAGGACAGCAGAAGAGTTTTGCTGGTGCATTTTGACAAGGGTGGACAATGACCAAGGTGTCCCAGAAGCCCTACAAAAGGCTTTGTTTTTTTGATTCATTTCAGGCTTACATGCCTGGAAAGCTGTGGGGAAAATCACGGTTCTCCTTGCTAAACTTATTATACCAACCCAAAATGTGAACTGACCTACCAGGTTTACCAGGTTTGAAAGCAGTTTTCCCAGCTTGGGGTAAGTACACATATACATTTGTGTGTGTGTATAAGTATCTATATACGTGAAGCTATTTATACAGAAGCAATGGATATAAAATACTCTTATTTAGCATGACTGGAAAACATCATCTGATGTCCTCCTACCATCTGATGGAAGAGCTGTGACTGCACGTACCTTATAGTGTGACTCTGTCTCCTCTTCCTGAGTAGAGCTGGAGGGAGATGGTGTAGCAGACTTGCTCCCCGGGGGTGATGGGGAGCCATGGGTGACACCACCGCGCATCCCCATCTGTGAAATGAGCTGTGATTGGCTGAGGGCACCCATGGGGCCAGCCAGCATGGCGGGGCGGTTCAGCAGCGGCACTTGTCGGTTGGACTCGTAGGACGCGGCGTCCGAGTGGACCATCTCCTGGATCTGTGCAAGGAAGAACATCACTTTGTCATTACAAATGTATTCAGTTATGTGCTGTCAGATCACTTTATGATGCAGTCTTATTGATTGACTCTAAAGGGGTGACAAAGTCTTCCTCATGTCCCTTCCAAGCCAGCCAAGTGCAAGAAATGAGTCAAGTGCTCCAGGGGCTCTGTGCAGGTGTCACAACCAACATCTCACAGCTGTTGGGTCACCAGCACTACTGGGGTTAAATCTGGAGGCAAAAGCAGGAAACACAGAAACCATCAGGGGAGTCTCAGGCCCCCATTTCCACCATGTTGGGCTGCCTTATTGTTCTTACTTGGGAAAAGAGGCTGCCCTAACCTTGCCAACACCTCCTTTCAGGTAGTTGTAGAGAGTGATGAGGTTCTCCCCTGAGCTGCCTCTTCTTCACACTGAACCATCCCAGTTCCCTCAGCTGCTCCCCATCACACATGTGCTCCAAACCCCTCACAGCTTTGCAGCCCCTCTGGACATGCTCCAGGGCCTCGATGCCTTTCTTGCACTTGGGCGCCCGACGCTGAATACAGCACTCAAGGTGGAGCCTCCCCAGTGCCTAGTAAGGAGTACAATGCTTCTTGAGATGCCTCTCAATTTCAAATAGCACTGCTGGTTTTGATCTCACCTGAAACGAGCACAGCACAATAACATCCAGAGAAGGGCAAGGGATATTCCTGGGTCATCGTTACTATTTCGCAATGAGAAGAGACCAGAAGTGATGTAGATGAATGAAGAGAGATCAGAGATGAGAAAGGATGCTTTGTGGCAGAGCTGTCCCTGAAATTCCCATGAATCCCTAAATCCCATTTCTCTATTCCCATGAGAATGAGGGGACAGCCAATGGGACTGAAATGGCCAGTGCCAAGCAGCTGCAGAGACACAGAGACACTGCACCGGCCACCAGCTGCTGGGCCACCAATCTTGGAAGATTTGGAAGAAAAACGTGGGGCTGCCCCAGTGCTGAGCCCACAACCAATTTTTCCCTCTCCATCGTTGCAGCACTGAGCTGCCTCCCTACATCACCAGGTCCAGCCCCAGCTGAGCAGTGAGCGGTGGGGGGGAAAGCAGACCCCCTTGGAAACACTGGTTTTTCCCTTTCATATTAATCTGATTAATGTTAACACGAGCTTAAAGACCCAGGCTTTATTTATTAACAACCTTCATTTCCGATAAGCCCGCTGAGGTGCGATCTCTCATTACCAGGGAGACTTGCCAGCTCCATTAGCAGTGCATGCAAAAAGAAACCTGGGGAAGACCTACAGGGGCTCGGCAGGCTTCAGAGGAAATAAATCCCAATGCAAAACCAGCTTTAGAGCTGCAGGTCAGGAATCGGGAGCTTTGAACAACACAAGACGGCGTGCTCCGCTCTTACTTTCCCATTCTCCATCAGTGGAGAAGCATGCATTAGGGGAGTAGACTTTCCCAGCTTTGCCCCGTTGTTATATGAATTACAAAGTGCAGGGATTTATCACGCCTTGCATTTACACAGCAGCAGGAGTTTGGCTAAGGCTGGCTTGGCAGCCACGCTGCATTGCTGCTTCCAAGGAAATGTGTGTTTGCAAAGGCAGTGGGGCTGGATTTGCTCCGGCAAAGAAAACTCCGGCAGCCAAGAAAACTCACTTCCTGAACTATGCAAAGTGTTACGCACTCTTCAAGTTGCCTTGTTGCAAAAGTCTGGCCTCTCCTTGCAAAACACAATGCATAAGAAATCCCGACCAAGAAGACAGTAAGCAAGGTGGGGATGGACAACGGGCTTGGGTAGCGTGGGATGCGTCAAGAAGGGGATTTCTGCACTTGCATTAGGATTTGCAGTCATGATGGGACAGGCAGTGATGGGGAGCCTGCAAGGAGGCAGAAGGGCTGGCAGCCCTTGGCCCTCAAGCAGTGGTAGTGGAGGAAAAGGTATGCTCAGCTCGGATGCTGTCTGCTTAACAAGGCCTTTGGTGTTCAAGGAGATGTTCTGCTAAGGAAAATAATGGATTGTTCTTGTTCTAAATTTAAATGAGGGAAGAGTACAGAAGATGGGTGTTTCAGAAGTAGGGATGGCCATGAAACGTGGCTTACAATTTTTTTAAATTTAAAATAGCCCATTCCCATTTGTAGCCATGGCAGTCTCTTGGGTAAACACCGTATTAAGACAATCTTTGTGAAACTTTTATTATGTGGCCAACGGACCACAACAGCTCCATTAATCCATTAAATACGTAATCATATGCTTTTTCTCTACAGTGCGTGTTATTTATGCATCAGAGCAGAACAAGTCCAGGAGTGCAATTATGGATCTGGGACACATGCTGCAAATTTTTATGAAAATTCACAGGTAAAAGGGAACCCGAACCACCTAGAAGCTGACACCATCCCAACCACAGCAGTGTTTTTCCTGGGAACCCTGAAGCCTCCTCACGAGCAGCTGTCTATTGCTGTACATCATTAACAACTGACATTTTTACCTACAGTCTGCTGAACATTGGTGGTTCTGCCTCCCCAGATTGCAGGCTCTCTGGGCAGTGGGTTCTGCTGAAGGGCAGCAGCTGGACCCAACAATTGCTACTCACTACATTTCTCCCCATTACCCATTTTTTAATAAAAAGTAAGAGTCTGTAAAGCAAGATGCCAGCTGCCGCCTCCCTGCAGCCCCTGCCCATGCCTCGCCGACTCCATTCACAGCAGTGCTGATGATCTCAGGATTGGAGAGGGTCATTTGTCCTCCCCAAATTGAATGTGTTTAGGGTGAAAACGAAGGTCATAGGATCATGATGTCCTTAAGGTTGGAAAAGACCTCTAAGATCATCTAGTCCAACCTCAACCCATCCCACCATGCCCACATCCCTCAGTGCCACATCTATCCTTTCTTGAACACCTCCAGGGACAGTGACTGCACCACCTTCCTGGACAGCTGTGTCACTGCACTGCCACTCTTTCTGAGAAGAAATGCTTCCTCATATCCAAACTGAACCTCCCTGGGCATAACTTAAGGCCATCACCTTTCATCCTGGGAGCAGAGGCAATGATGGCAAAGCAGAGCAACCCATGAGGCCTGCTATAAGCCCAGTGTAATTACATACAAACGTAATTAACACTGTCAGCAGGACAAGCTCCCAGGACAGGTTGGATCTCACTGCCTCATGCAACCCCAGTGCCATAGGCTTGCTGGGAGATGTTGCCAGGCCCTGGGAATGTCTGCAGCCTCCACAGAAGCTGCTTTGCACCTCATGGGGAACAGAAGCGAGATGCGATGCAGCCATAGCTGAAGTAATTAAATGCATCTCACTTAGCAGATTCCCAAAGGCTGCGCTAACTCAAAGGCAACTTTTTCCCCACAATATTTATTATTTTTTTAAATGAATATGCAGATCAGCCTATAAAGACTCCAGCTAATCCTCCTGAAGGACAGAAACAGACTGACAAACGTATAAGCTGTGCTCCTTGCTGTGGGAGAAGGGCAGGGCAGCACAGGAGCCAGAATCTGTGGGTCGGGGCTGTGGCTTGGGAATCCCTGGGTGTGCTCCTGGGATTGAGCCCTCAGAATCACATCAACCAGGGAGAGAAATTAGTGGCTGAGCAGTTTCAGAGCCAAGTTTTCCCAGCAGGCTTTTTCCCGTATTGAAGTTTAAATGTAAACGCATCACCATAGCTGAAATGCTTAAAGATGATTTACTTAAAAAAGAGAGAGAGCAAGAGAGAGGGAAGCTGATAAGAAAATACATCCCCAATTACCACCCCTCCTCCTCCTGATTTGTAACTGCTCCTAATAAACTTTCATGGTCTATGTAAAATGCTTTAGTGCGGTGACAAATTTCTGCTGGAATTTGAGATGTCTTGTTCAGAGTAATAGCTATCTCACACAGGTGCCCAGCTGCTATTGTAAAATCAGTAAGCATTTAATTGAAACAAATGACTATAATAATAGTACATTATCCCTGCAGGCTCATAGCCATAACAGTTTTAATTATTGAGTTAAGAGTCAAACTAATTTATCCTTTAAAGTAACAGCCACATCTTTGGTTCCACCGATCATCCCGCTATGAATACGAAAGCGAAGGGAGAAGAGGATTTACAAAGGGAGCAAGTTTGCTTCTGCAGGGGTTGGGGGCAGCTCTCACCTGGCTCTGTGCATGTAGGGGGTCCTGCCCATGGCCCAGCCTGCCCTGGGTGCTGGGGTTGAGCATCCCCTTGGATCAGGTGCCCGCTGCTGCCAGCTTGCGGGGTTGGGGCACGTACGAGTTTTTGGGAACCGTATCAAAACTGCAGTTTTTCTTCATCGCTCACAATGAAGCACGGGTGTTCCCATCCCTCCCATCCCTTTCCTGGAGCCACCCGGGTCCTCATCTCCAAATGCTTTTTTATTCTCTCAGGTAGGACAGTGTTGATCTCCCAGTGCATATTAACTCTTTGTGACTAGTTTACCAGAACCTGCAAAAACCTCTGCACCTCCATCATTACTTGCTTACTTGCTGCATCACCTACACACTCCGCTGGTAATTATGTAATGCTTTCAATGGTAAAAATACAAGAAACTGCAGCATGACAAACTGATCCACCAAACTTGTATCTCATTGATTTTGCATTGTTTGACTTTCTCAACACACTTCGTGCTTCCAAGTCAAATGTCTTGCAGATGCCTAAGTATATTATGTTAACATCGTTACCTTTAGCACCCAAACCTGTAATCTCATCAAAAAAGATATCAAGTTGGTTTGACAAGATTTGTTTTCCATCAGTCCATGTTGATTGGCATTAATTATATTACCTTCCCCTAATTCTTTATTAATTGAGGCCTGGATCTGCCACTCCGTTATGTTGTTGAGAATTGATGGCAGATTGACAGGGTTGTAATTACCTGGGCTGTTCTGTTTCCCTTTTTAAATATTTGCACATTAGCTCTTTTCTCATCCTCCAGAGCCTCCCCAGTATTCCAGGAATTAATAAATACCGGCATTAGTGGCACTGAGTGCTCCTCGCTCTGTTATTTCAAGCCAGAC